GAAGCCCATATATATTATATTAGACAATGGAAGTCCGAACTAATGAAAATTTAAAAATCTTCTTTCTATTTCTTCCAAAATCTGAAGATTTGATAAATGATGTATGCTGTTCTCTGCTGCTACAAGCAATTGGTTTCAAAATACCTTGTATTCAAACACGTATTAATGTTGTGTTGGTGGTAACATACTATGACTGTATGAGTATCCCAGTATCTTATAGGCTCATGTGATTCAGCAAATGAAATAATATCTGTGATTTCTGCCCAAGTGGTGCAATCTTGAAATCTTTCAAAAATCACTATTTTCAACAAATAGTTGGTTTTGTTATTTCATTGTTCACTACTGTTCCACTACATCTCCTGTATTTCATCTTTCATTCTTTATTGTTAGTCGTTCAATAAAAATCTGCCAATATCATCTGAATTTATCTAGTTTAGATTAGTATAGTTTTATATTCATATATGTTTTGAGCCTCATTTTAAATATTTTAAGTTCTGAAAAATTATCAGTGCACTAACATTAGAAATGAAATTCTTAATAAATCACATATCTGTCTAAAAATCCGTCAATATCAAATGGGTGTGGTAATATCCATTTTATGTAAATGAGACATTTTTTCACTTACTACCAAGAGAAATAATTTTTTTATCGATAATATCAACACATTTCCAATCTATTGAAAACACTTTTCATCTTCAGATCTGCTGAAGATGCTAACTTCGTTAGCGAAACGAGCGTCGGGAGAAGGCATTTTTCTTCTGGTGAGGAAAAAGTTTTCTCAGTAGATTAATTTCACGCCAGAGATTCTAAATTCTACTCATCAACTCAGTTTCACTTTACTGAACTTATGAAAAAATAATAAATCAACATATTGACAAAAGTTTACTAATACATTTCCAAGATGAATTACATTTAATCAAAGCATGACTGTCGTAAAATATAAATAAACACATCAAATATATAATTAATTGTTCACTAAAAGATTTTGTATTTCTGTTGATAACTCATTTACATTTGGTTTAATTTGTGGCTCATTTTCGACTATTCCTTGACTCAATCTGGAACACGCTTTTTTGTGCCAGTGCCAGTGTAACCTTTGACAGTTTCTATCACAGTACTCCACAGCTTTACATTTTGAACACTTTTTGGCTGGCTTCTCCTCTCCACAGGTATTGCATATCGATATATTGTCCATAAAGCCTCTCTGTCCATTAATGGCCGAGTTTACAACGTTGAAAGCAGGTGGTGGATCTGTACTCGCCAAACTAGCCACCATTTGTCGAAATAACGTACACTCTCTATGGGGGAATTCTCTGATACATTCTTTTAGAAATCGATCCATGAATTCCAATTGACCATCCTTACCCGGCTTCAATAACTTTCTCGTGAAGAGTTCAGTTATATCCAGTTTCTTCTCATCTTCCTTTTCATCTTTTTTTGTAGAAGCCTGCCTCTGTCGTATCTTAATTATCTCTCCAATAATGTATGAAAGGTAGTGAAACTTGAAAGACATTACCTCATTTGTTTCCGAACCACGTTTCATTTCTTTTTCACTCATAAGCTCCAATACCTTCTTAATTTCAGTTAGGTGGTCTGATAATCCTACAAAATTGTGTACATTCAAAACCACTTTTGCAGGATGAATGTTGATCTGCATGACGAATTTATGAAAGCTTTCTACCAGGAATATTGGAAGATAGGGTGATGTTTGACTTCCTTGAACTGTTGTATAATATTCAATGTCAGATTTTGGGATGAAGTTATTAATGATTGCAACGCAGTCATGGTGGCCTACAAAGGCAGCCATCTGAGAAGCAGTGCGACCAACACTGTTTGTTACATCCGTTTTAGCACCAGAGAGAAGAAGTGCATAACATACATCAGCCTTTCCAGACAGTCCAGCAAAGTGTAGGGCAGTGTAATTATGTTGATGTTCGCTGTAATTCACGTCAGCTCCCTAAAAGAGTAAGTTCAATTTGAAATGAAAAGAATTGATGAGAAAAATCAAACTTTTGCTTCATAATCATTATGTTGTGTTGGTTTCGAATGTTTGTTTGATACAGTGTTTTTCATTTCTCATATATATCTAACACGTCCTTTGATTTTAGAATTCATTCAAAGTTTTAACATGGATTTTTTTTTGAAACCTGAAGAAGATTTTAATTGAATTCGAAACTTTGGCAAAACAATTGCTTTTCTAAGATAATTTGATCCTGTTACCCAACAAACATTACTTAATAAAAGTAATTTGAATCACTAGACTATTCAACTAGCAAAATAAAAGTTGTTCGCAGAATATTGCCCCGCAACGGAAGACTCAGAATTCTTCTGAATGACTGTCTTATTTTGAGGTGTGTATATTTACTAACCAAACATTCTAGATACTGAGCACCCTCTTATTGCAGAAAGCCTAGTCATGGTAATGCTCGGCTCAGGCGTGAGAAAAGATAGGCATCAAATGAAAGACCCCAACAACACTCCCTATAACATTGGGTCAACAGCTAGAGCTTCTCAGTTCTACAACTCTCGATTAGGAAGAGGGGAACAATTTGCCTTGCACCAAATTCTTGAGCAGCAGAAGTAGAATCTGTATCAGAATGCAAACTTGCTTAAACTCAAAAGATGATTCATCCAAACCAGAAGCAAAAAAAGCCCTGAATGCCTGAATTGAATGTATCATGATAATATAGCTGACTTACAGATGCCCTCATAAGGTGGGAATGTTGCACCTTGAAAATATTTATTTTTAATTTTTCAGTTTCGTATGCTATAAAAGCGTGTTTTTAGTCTTTTTAAACTACATTCATTTTATCTAAACTTTGGGATCAATCAACCGTATAGTGTTTAGAAAGAAAATTACCATTGATATTTTCCGATTCCGGAGAGGGAGCCTGAAAATCAGCTACCAAGCCCAAGGAAGGCAGCAGGCACGCAAAGGAGGGTTGCAAATAAGGCAGCAGGCGCGCGTGTTAATAAAATAAATACTTTTTCCAAATGAAGAAATACATGTAAAGTGAGTTCGAATTTTATCAAGGAGGTTACGTACAGCGCCATCTGCCTGCGAATAGATCAAGCAATAATGTCAATAATTCTCTTAAAAACAGATCTTAAGCTTGAGAGTTACAAACAAACTAATAAACATACATACATACATACAGGTGAAGCTAATAAAAGCGTGTTAAAAAATTCAATATTGTCAACCCAAGAAGCCCCGATGAACACAGCCTCGTTGAAACTAACCTCATTGACTTTGCTAATCCCAATATTTTAGATGATAAACCATTATTAGGTAAACAGCTCTTAAGTGAGATTATCCTCATTTTCAAATAAGAATGTGTTAACATTAAGAGAGAGATATAAGGATTGTATAGAGCTTATTTCAATTTGTTAAAATGGAATTTGTTTAAATCTTGTTCCCAATAAGTTACCACCACCCATCTGACATCTTTCTGAAAAAATATCAACTACTTATCTACTACTATTTTTGTTATTTCAGGCAGTGTGAAGTCTTAAGTAAATAACAACTTCTTTATAATGTTCCCGACATGGTGGAGACGAAGTGAATAGAAATCCCTTCAACTTCAATATTCTCAACATAACGAAGATGACTCAATTGTTGTGGATTCGTTTCTCATAAGTAATCTCAATAAGAGATATTTTCCTGCTTTTTAATAAACATTTTTGTATGAGTGTGAATTTTAATGTGATTCTACTTCACCCTCTTTGATCAATGCTAAATTTTAATATTTTGACACAGCAAAATTTGTGACAAAGTACTGGAAAGATGAAAAGTGGATCAAAACACCAAATAAAAATTAAGAGCCAGAGACACAGACATAAACTGTCTGTTGAACCAAAAAGTCTTTTCGCAACTCAATATGTACCAAGATGGACAAAACCCAAACATGTAAAGTGGTTTCTAGTTATTGATCAGGAAACTAAAAAAAAATTATGTGGGGTTGTATTTACAGTTACAGACAATTCTTTCGAATTGTAAATTTCTAAATAAGGGAAATCTTATAAATGAAATATTGACATAATTATAGTATTGATATTTCAGAATACTATAACAGCAGTCGATTTGGATTTATAATCATTGTTTTATAGACTGGTTTTTCGTCTTTTTTTGTCTTAGTTTTTATTTCTTCTACCTAAATGTGTAAAAAAATTTGAGCTGTCATCCAAACCAAATAGTGAATAAATATAATTATTGAGTTCAAAATGTATGCATGCTAAAATATATAAGATAAAAACAAATCAGCTATCCATTTTTTTTTAATACTCAACAGGGTACACTTTGAATCTGACAGCTGAGAGGTGTTGCAGTTTCATTATGACAATTTTTCATATACAGAGGGAAGAAAATACCTGATCCAGAAGATTTTGAACTATTTCCTTATTGCCCTTATAAGCAGCATGTTGCAAAGGTGTCATTGAGTTTTCATCAACAATATTCGCGTTTATATTTTCAGATAGTAAAGCCTGTAGTAAGGTAGCATCGTTTTCGGAAATGGCTTTGAAAATTAGTTTTTCACTTTCAGATAAAACTTTATCTTCACACATTTTGTTCGCAAAATCGAAGCTATCTGAAAGAATAAAATAATTCCTCTCCAGAAAAAAAATGCCGTCTAACTTTTTGTTTAGTATTTGACAGTGACATTTGACATTCGATAGGTTGAACCATTCTTACACCGATGCCACATACCAACCAATCGAGGAACAGAGTAAAGAATGTGATACAGTTTATAATTGACAACTATACAACATGTACACTGAGAAATCGAAGGAGTTCTTCATCTCTACCTAAACTTCTTTAGAAATATTGTTTATATATAAAACAACAATAAAAATATATATTCATCTTTATTACCATTTCTGTTACTGTTTGTTAAGAATTGTGGTGAATTTTGTTAAAAAGTATTACATTATTTGAATAGGATGGCGACCGTTGAATATGATTTTGATTGTCAAGTTGGCGGGAATTCGGTCAAAATGTTGAAGAAAACCAATTTCTAAATTGTCGACGTTTCGAAACTTTATTGTTTCATCTTCAGGACTCTGAAGTATAAGAACAAGACATACATATTAACATAGAAATTTACAAAGCAGTTCTGTTAGAAACAAAATAAATTATGAAATATAACAATCGTTAAAAAATAATAAACGTTTCGAACACTTAACAAANGACTTAGTACTAGATCTATTGGTATGTTGATGAATAGAGATACTGCATATTACATTATTGTTATAAATTACAATATGTTAAAGTTAATTTTATTTGTGAAATTATAAAACAACGATAAAAATAAAAACAAAAATAAAAATTAATTGACGCTTCGGGGCGACTTCATTGATTCCATTGGCGCATTTGCTTTTTCTTTTTCAGCTGCAGGAAAACCCGGAAAAATCTGCAGCACCACATCATAAATTTCCATCCATCAAATTAATGTGTTCAATGATGTCAAGGCAATATTGATGGATGACTGTTGAATAGTGTTAATTCAATAACTTGTCTGTTTCTAATACATGTACAGGTCGTACCCAACCACGTACACCGTGGTGTACTTTTTCTCATATTGGACTCACAGCATTCAATTTTTGGTGTCAGTTGCCTCAACTGCAAGTGCGGTTTATATGACCGCAAGTCATATAAACGGTCGGACTAAGAATATAAATATGCATTGAACATCGTTGAATAAACTCACTGGATATTTCACTCGACAGTCATTTTGATGTCAAATCAAAATTGAAACATTTCATCATACTTGCGCATCTCTTCACTCTTCATTTCCTAGATATTTTTTCATTTCCTGTATTCCTAAAAAATGGCTGCGTTAAAAACTGAGATCATTGAAGAGAAAGAAGATAATATAGAGCAAATAGACGATGAAATAGATGAGGAAAACAAAGAAGCGCCCAAAAAAAAGAAAAACCGAAAGAAAAAGAAAAAAGGTATGAAGTTCACTTTTTCATATTATGAAATAATTGTAATATCTGACTTTATTTAAATGGAAGCTGAAGCAGAGGTTAACCCCATTGAAGGGGATCAAAAACCGGACAGCGAAACGATTACTTTGGAAAATGCAGAAAATGATGTAATCGAAAATGGTGATGGAGAGAAAAAGAAGAAAAAACGTAATAGGAAGAAAGGGGGAAAACTTCAGCAAACCAACCCTCCTTCCATCCCTATTGTAGACCTATACCCAGATGGAATATTTCCTGTTGGAGAAATTCAGGAATATCCCACCTTAAAGGATGATCGTACTGCTAAAGACCGGTTTACATCAGAAGAGAAGCGAGCACTTGATAGAATGCATAATGACATTTACAATGAAGTTCGTCTGGCTGCAGAAGCACACAGACAGGTGAGCTGAGGAAAAAATATTCATTTCAAAGGCTAATCATGTGTTCCAACGGCTTGTGCTGGTTTCGATCATAAAAGTTTCTGGGACTCTAGTATTTTCATCTGTCAATCATAAATCTGAAGTCAAAATGTGACAATCCCGTTTACTTTTGGAGATACGGCCTAATGTAGGAACTCTCTTCTGATAATGAAATCGTTTCATAACTGAACACAACATAGCGTTCAGTTATGACATGTATGTTAGGACAACTAATTGTATTTATTTGCAAAAATAAACAACACCTACATGTGCTGAAGTGAGCTACCACATTTAATGTTTCAAATCCCAACCCTATCATTGGCTGTAGCTTCTTGTGAGGCTTATTAGTAGGGATCAAAAGAGTAGCGAATAGCACAACTCTGTGATATTGATCTAATTTATGGGGAAATGAATATTTCGTACAAAGTTGTGAATGAGTATAATGTTTAAACTTGTTTTGGGAATATGTTAAAAATATGTTTTTTCCTTTGACCAGTTGTCTCACTCCCACAAAAGACTACTCTCAGAAGTCTAAACTTGGGCGAGCTGAAGATTAACGAGGTCTTAGCTTTAAACGTGCGATTCCTAGCACGTTGAAGTATAATTTACTGAGTTATGAATGTGATTCAGAAAAGATTTTTCAAGCAATATTGACTACCATGTGATATTAATCTAATTTTTGAGGAAATGAATATTTCGTACAAAGTTGGGAATTAATATAATGTTTAAACTTGTTTTCGAAATATGTAAAAAATATGTTTTTTCCTTTAACCTGCTGTCACACTCCTAAAAAAGACTACTCTCAGAAGTCTAAACTTGTGCGAGCTGAGGATTAACGAGGTCTTAGCTTTAAACGTGCTGTTCCTAACACGTTGAAGTATAATTTACAGGATTGTGAATGTGCTTTAGAAATGATTTTTCAAAGCAATATTGACTACCATGTTTGTATATTTAAATCATAATTGTCAACATGAAAATACATTAAAATCAATATGTAAGAAATAATATGATGATTCATGAATAAACACCCTAAGAGGTACGAAAAACTTTTTTGACAATCTGCCAGATGCAATACGTTATTGTGGAAGTCTAATAAAAATTTTTTCAAAAAACTAGCACAAGCTATTACAACACATATTTACCAAGGAAATTATAATTTCCTTGATTAAAAGAATTATAATTCTTAATTTTTCATGAAACAATGTAATTTATCAAACCAATTGTTTGAGAAACTTCAGACAAACCAGGATTTTTGTAAAATTCTTTTGTCATCTCTCTACTTCCTTAAATAATAGTAGGAAGAAAAATAAATAGTTACACTAAACTCTTTAGTAATGTAAAGTACTATTAGTATTATTAAACTAAAGGATAGTCATGAAAAAAACTTACATTGCTAGTTATTGAAAATTACTATGTATGCTGTAAAAGTCAAAAATTAACATTTCAAAGCTTTGCTTTGCTGTTAGCATTGAGTTATGCTATCTCAGTCTGAAATTTTTTGTGCATGAGATAAATTGAGGCCGAGTTATATTAAAATATGGTAATGTTCATAATAGTGCAGACAATGTGAGGTTTACCAGTTTTCAAGTCAGAGTAGAAAGTATGAGAAAAAAAGTATATTGTAAATCTTCGAAGAACCATTTAATAAAATCTATAGTGTATCTTCTTTTGCAACTTCTTTTTGAATCAAAGAAAAATACTCTTAAAATTACCATGTAGTTTCAAAAATAAAGTTGTTATTGAAAAGTAGGTGTGTTTAATAAACCAAATGAAATTGCCATTAAATTCTAGACTTTTGAAGAACCATATCTCCTACGACCTCTTTCTGATGATCAATTTTTAATTGAGATTCATAATTCACTAACAAAAATACCTGGGTTACATTAAAAAATATATTTCAAGCTTGGATAGATAAAATAAAACTACCAGAGCTTTGTCCCACAGGTAACTCATTTTGTAAAATTTTCTATTAGACACGGCAACACATTCAAAAATGGATCAAACCTGGCATGACAATGATAGAAATTTGTGAGGAGCTAGAGAATACAGCAAGAAAATTAATAGCAGAAAATGGCCTTAAAGCTGGGTTGGCGTTCCCCACAGGATGTTCAAAAAATCACTGTGCTGCGCATTACACGCCAAATGCTGGTGATAAAACTGTATTTGAATATGATGATGTTGTGAAAATTGATTTTGGAACTCATATTAATGGAAGAATTATTGATTGTGCTTTTACACACACCTTCAACCCGAAATATGATAAGTTGGTGGAAGCTGTACAGGATGCTACTAATACTGGCATAAAAGCAGCAGGTAAATTTTGGTAAATTGTATTTTTGTTTGGAGATCTTTAGGTAACAACATGCAGCCTACATTATAATCAATATTCATGGGAGAAATAAATAAAAGATCCTATAAATGGTGGAAAAATGTCTATCAACCTATCAGTTTACTTTGTTGATCAATGGTTACGGTCGCTTTATAATTTAGGTAAATGTTGTGATCTTAAGCTCTCTACTAGTGATGACGTATTATATACTTGTGATGCACTGTTTTGAATCTTTGGTGATCATCTACAACCATTATTTTTAACACCTCAACACGTGTTTCAATCACTAAGTGATCATTTTCCTCTTGAAGATGATCACTTGGTGATTGAAACACGTATCGAGGTGTTGAAAATAACGGTTTAGTGTTGGGATAAAACTTCAGTTATATATTTGCAAACAAGAGCAGTTTCAACTGAACATATACTTCATTTTCAAATTCCAAAACATGTGTTATCAGGTTTTGTACTTTGTAACTTTATTATTATTATTAATCCCAAGTAACATTCAAAGCTCATAATACAGAACGTTTATTGGTACGAAATGCTGAACATTATTTAGATTAGGTAGTTAAAGTAGACACTTAGCTAATGAAAATATTAGAATTGGGTTGTATAAACATATGTTGCTCTTAACAAAAGGTACCTCGCAGAACTTGGAAATAAATGTTGACTGTGGATAATATACATTCAGAAGGATTATTTTTTCCATGTCTAATAATATTTTCTTCTGTGTCACTGATGAGATATATGGCAGATCAGTACAGTACTGTGTGGTCTAGAGTCATGGACACAATGCTTGCAGAGTCTGGTATCACTGTGCTTCCAGAAAACGCTGCAGAGAGACATGAAGTTCAACAATATAAATTAACATCCTGATTAAGACAAAAGTGACAGAATATGAAATTATTTATTATCGACGTTAAGGCTGAATGATCATTTAAATTTCATTTGATGCCTAAGACAGGCCCAGAAGTGTGAGTTGTTGTGAAATGTGTGTTTTCTGATTTATATTTGATTAGTAATGAATAAGAAGCAAAGTTACATAAAAAAAAATTCCCAAACATTATCTATGAAGATTATGAGATGATTGACTCAAACAATATGGATGTTTACATCTTGTGAATGAAAAATGTAAAAACGAGAAAGTGGTGTTCGTTTCGATTCCCCTGGTTCCTTTCTTTATTTCAATCAATTTCTATAAGATATAAAGTTTGATTTTTTTTCCATAGTGTTCACTAGAGCTCAAGTAAATGAGTAACTTCAATTTATACACCGATAACAAAATTATAATACTCTGAACTGAATATATCGCTATGACATGTTTCACTCAACAAAAATTTCTGGTTCCTCAATGAATAATAGGTCGAATAATCGCAGTGTTTTTTTTGGTACAATTCTAATACTGGAATTACCATTCTCGTTGTTTTTCAGCTATTTGATTCCTCTTGCTGCTATTCCTTTTCAAAATCATTAAATCTTTATACAGCTGGTTATAGTATTGCAGGGAAGAAGTTGGAACAAGTACAAACTATACGAGATCTGGGTGTTGTGATGGATGACAAGATAGACTTCCATTTACAGTATGATCACATATCTAACAAAGCGATGAAAATGTTAGAATTCATATGCAGATCAACTAAAGATTTTACCAACATTTTCTGTATTAAAATACTATACTTTGCATTGGTTAGATCAGTGATTGAGTATTGCACTTGTTCTCCAACTTACTTCAACCACAGTTATGCTATTGAGAAAGTTCAGAATAAATTTCTTAGATATGTTGCCTACAAAATGAACATGCCAGCAAGGAGTCATTATCTCTTTGAAATTCGCTCTACTATTGGATTGCTCAAACTCAGTACAAGACGGGCACATGCACACATAATATTCCTACATAAATTGTTGAACAACAAAATTGATTGCCCAACTCTTCTCTGTCAAATCAATCTGCATGTTCCTCCGAGAATAGTTTTAATTGGGGCAGTTGAGCTGCTTAGAAATCTTGTCCAAATTTGACCCAATGAATATAAGAAGAAGAAGAAGAAGAACTTTATTTCCAGATAGGCAAGCCTAATATAAACATAATTAATGCACTTTATCTAAATATAATACATAAAAATCAAAATAAATTAGTCTATTATAACCAAATAACAGAAAATCACAAAAAAGAAAAAACTATATCGCCGATCCTCACCATTGCG